GAACTAGATTTGTTGCTGATTGGCAAGTAATGAAAACATGATGCTTCATACTCACTCACTCATCCACAAAAGCTGAAACTTAAGTATTTTAATTAGTCCGTCAGACATCTTGAAACGTGAATGTAAAACCGTTTTCGAAAACTTTAGAAAGTTTCCCGGGAATTCCACGGCGACGGCAACGTTAATAATTCAGAAGGTAGAGGCTAAGAAAAGCGTCTGTTTTTGTAAGGCATGCATGAGCATGAGTTGTTTTTTGATTATCTATTATCAACTAGGAGCCAAGCCTTTTCCAAGAACAGCCACTACTACTGAACCTTCACCAACATTATTAACTTTTCAAATTAAACGGGTTGCGGTTGGTTGACAAGTTAAAAGCATGGTATTAAAATGAATTTCTTGAAAACAATTTATTAATCGGAGGAATAACTAACTCACCAAAAAAACATTCTATTATTGCGTTTTATTCGTTCTCATAATGTGATGGTTCAATATTCTTGCCCGCCTCTGTTTCTACCTGAAATAGCACAGAATTATCAAAAGAATTAACGCTACCCTAATATAATCAGAAAAGTTCCCCTTAAAACTAGGGCAGACTAGAAGCGATGGCGTGCTAACGACGAGAGACGTTGGGTCTAATGAAAACTAATTACCAACTGTATATTTTATCCATTTTAGTTGTGGGCTTTGGTTATGTTTGATAATTCCATACTACCCTTATGGTTAGCTTTATTTTCTTAAAAAGAAACTCAATTTTTAATGCTAATTTACCTGGGTTTTAGACGCCAGGCCATCTATCTTCGCTTAGAAAGGACTAATTGCCTCCAACATTAGCTAGAAGGCATTATTCTGGGTGCTATCGATCCCAGAATGAGTTGCATATTATAATCAAGATATGTGTTCAGGGAATTACTTCTAATCTCAATCTCTAATGCAAATGCTTGCAAAAATCCAGTCACACCTTTACGCTGCTCGATAAAGCCCTTTTCATAATAATATATTCACCGCAACATAACATTCAGCTTCGTAACTTTTACTAAATATTTGAAACAGTTCAGCGTTTATTTCAGCTTTTAGCACTAACTCTAAAATTGCATTTAGCTGATAAGATTTATTCGAGATAAGACGCGAAACTATTGAAGGTATAAACCTAAAAAGTGCACACCCTTTAAGCAACATTGGTGTTAAAAATATGCACGGTATTATAGTTATTTAAACGCACACTTTCGTGAAGTGGGAACATAATACAAATTGCAAACGTTAGTTTTGCAAATACCAGTAATATTTAGAGCACTCTAGAGGAAAGCTGGTAGCGTGTTAAGTAGTTTGTGCTTTTCACATAAAGATAGCGCATTATCTCGCATTAAAATAAAGCTAGCTCTGGATGAGGATGCATTGGAGAAATGCTCAAAAGTTAGCTTTGATAAATTGCATGATAACCATGCAAAACTGATTAAATTTTATTTAAGTCGTGCAAAGGTGGCTAAAAAATATATAGTTTTGTTTTGTGTATAGTTTGGAAACTGATTCTGTTCTTTAGCAGTAAGTTGACTGGAGATTTCCTCTACATTCCTATCAGTCACGTGCCTAAAGAAGAGCGATTGTAACGTTCACATTGACTCTCAAAGTAACATAAATCTGCCAGTTGAGGGAATAACAAAAGGAAATTTTCGAAAACTTGGAATCAACCTTCAGGCAAAACATTGTGAGCATTTCATTGAGTTGTAACTGGCTGCTGAGTGTGTAGAATTTTACAAAAATATGTAGGTTTAAATAGAAGCGATTGAAACGTCCACACGGATAGTAATTTTAGAATAACTTGGTAGGTAAAATGGATTTTTTTTAAACTTTGATTTTTAAAAGCAATATAAAAGTTTTGTCCAGATCTGGGACCTGCAAAATTTTTTCAAATTTATTGCAACTTTAAAAAGAGATTATTCAGTCGCCTTGATCCTTAAATTACAATAACTTCGCACGTCAAGGCTTCATAGAAAACTCTGTGAGAGTTTCATCAACTTGCAGCTACAGATCTTTTAAAAATTTGCCTAATACAGCGGGAAAATTTTGCCAAGTTGCAGCTATCAAGAAGAACCACTTTGATACTCAAGATTATTTCCTAGTTGAGACCAGATGTTAATGATATGTTCAAACCGTTCATTTTAAAAATGATAATCACTTTCCTATCTGAGACAATACGTGAATGAAAATTTCAAATTTAAAATGAAAAACTTCTGACTGAAACTTTACACAAAACATTGCAGCATTTTTGAAAATTCAATACCAGCTGTAAAAAAGAATAATTGTAACGTTACTTGAATATCCAATCTAGTTTTCTACTTAAGACCGTAAGAAAGGCATAATGTCTGAAACCAAGCTCATGCAAAATAACCTGCGAGTTTCATCAAAATGCAGTCACCAGAGTCACTGAGTTTGTAAAGTTTTTCAAGATTAACTCTGCAGATTCAAAGAAGAGCACTCAATCAACCATAACTTTGCTATATGAGACAATCTAAGAATGATATTTTCAATGACTTTGAATGAACTTTCGTACAAAATAATGGTTGAACACATCGCAGAAATCAGCTGAGTTTGTTGAATTCTTCAAAATTAACACTATGAATTCAAAGAAGGCCAATTGAATTGTACACCTTAATACTCAATTTAGAAAAACTTTTCCAGATGAGCCAATAAAATGATAACATTATTATAATCTTCAATGTGTATAATAAATCTAAATAAAGTTGTCGGAAACGTCCTGAATTTTTTTTTAAATGTTGAATACCTAGATTGGAACCACTTTCTCCATAAAACTATACATTTTGAACGAAAGTTTCTACTGGTATTTTGCTAAGATGGGCCAATGACCATTGAATGAACCTCCATCAAAAATTATTCGATGAGCTGTGCGGCATCCGAATAAAAAAAGGCAAAAGAAGGGAAAAATATATGGCCTAATGAATAAGAAATCGGGCTATATAAAAGAGATCCCCAGGAATCGTTAACTAACTACGGCGTAGGGAGGGATTATTTCGGGAACATGTTTGGGATCAAGGGAGGCAGAAATATGGAGAACACATTTTTTCCCCTCAATCTTGACGATCGATTTGAAAATGCTAAAAACGTTGCATTAAATATTTTCTTTTAGACGACGATTTCCGATAACAAAGTCCATGAGGGTTTGTATTTCTTGTCGGCGCTTAATCTTTATTGGGTGGGAGGCATTTATAACAAATTTGAGTAGTTTTCTGTTTAAATCCAATTGATTTCCAGTGAAAATTCAACATTTCAGGATTTCAGAATACGTATATGTATTTTTTAGTTCTCGAATTTGCACGGCTTCCGATCTAAATTAGACCAGTTATTAAAAAATTCAGTGCAATTTCAAGTTTCAAAAAGTATGATGCTAATAATTTAGTGCCATTTTTACATTACGGTTACATTTAATTACGACCGCAGGATGATAAAACAAACCCGATTCAAATTCAATTAAAACAGGATTACAGGATATTTGGCGAAATAATCCTCCAGAATTGCTATTTCACTTAAATACTTGTTGATGCCCAACTTTAGATTGTTTTGTGGAACTTTGTTTTGATGTTTGTTGAAAAATAATTTAAACTTCCTAGGTAGGTTCTGGAGAAAATAATGCCTTGAACGTTCTTGGGAGACTAAACAAAACCAACTTAAACTTAGATATAACTTCAAATAATTAAGTATTCACTATATTTTCGCTTTCATCATTGAAGACAATTAGCACTTAAGAAGCTTCCAATTTATGCATGCTATTCATGTAACGACTTTGGCAATGACTCAATTTTACTGCTGGAAACCGTTGACATTAAGCTGTTCGGACATACCTGTAATAACCATATAATATCGCTCAAACAAAAACCGGAAATGCTTACTTTGACGGGAAAACTCAGCAATAATTCATCTTATGATTTATTTATCGCGTCCTAAACATCAGAGCCCTTAATTGGCAATTGTATTCGGCAGTCATCACCAATTGGAAAATCGCGACAAATAGATAAACCGCATTTATTATTAACACGCTAACTGGCCGGATTCGTAAATAATTTTATGTAAAGCCCATAATTCCCTTAGTAGCTGTAATAAAACTTTCCATATTAGTCCAGTTATGCCCTTAAATTCTATAGAACTCATTTAAACAATAACTTCCACTTTCCGGTCAATATAATCAGCATTTTATTCATCTCTCGACCATTCCGGAATCCTCAAATTCTGTAAAATAGCTCGTTCTATGAATCGTAAATGCATGCTCTGTGCTGTAAACTTAGAAAATAAACATTAAAAATTACACCCATCATCTAACGTTAACCGTTAACTGGCGTCGTTAATGCAAACTATAACGACTTTTTCAGAGTAATCGTGCAACTGCAATAGGGAGTTTGGGTACTTACAGCATTTCTAGAGCGGTTATCATGGATTGGAATTTTACTTCTGTTCGTTTTGTGCAACATTTGAAACTGTCTATTTATACAATATGGACATAGTCAGTCCAATAACGTGTATGGTATACTTTCTTGAATAAAAATAAAATATTGTTAATCGATAACAATTTATTTAATTCTAATTAACTTTGCTTACTACCAAAAATGTTTCAAACATGATGCTATTGCTTTTTAGAACATACTCCCGTTAATAATGTGGTTTTCAGACCTCGGCGCAAACATGTCCCCAGATGTTAGTGAAGAAACATTTTAGTTAGAGGGCTGGACATGTTCGGAAATTTTGTCAGCTCTGACATGAAAAGCGAAATTGAATGTTTCACATTTAAGTGCAAAGAATATTAAATCACTTTGTATTATAAATAAATTGAAGTAATTAATCAACATGAGCGACTACCGCGCTAAATTTCCAATGGTTCAAATATTATTGACAAATGAAAAACCGATAACATACCAACCTTATTCTTATGCTCCATTAACTTAACACATTTCAGGAAAAAATAAAAAAATAAAAGTTAGTCAACCATTAGTGTTGGAAAATAATGAGAAACAAAGCACGTTAAAAAGCGTCGTTTGTCATTTTTTTAATAATCACTTTATGGCCATTGTCAAGTTCAATTTATATTTCGTGACGGGGTTAAAATGTTTTCTTTTCGTTGAATATCAACCTTTCCATTATCAAGCTGACTCCAATAAGGTGAGTGTGTGCATATTAATCGATTCGGGCGATTCATTGCGGTGTATAGTACAATAGTTGAAGCTGTACCTCTTTAAAAAAACTTTTGTAACAAACGAGCATTATCTGCAAGTAAATAGCAATATGTCTCTGTAAAGCAGATTCAAAAATTTCCATTACCAATAGTACTGCATGCTATTGTTTTATTTCTTTCGATACTAGCAGTAACTATGTGGCTCTAAGCGATCTGGTTCGAAGTAAACTGGTAATAGACAATAAATCAGTTGCAGAATTAGCCAACAAATTTGTTCATGAACGTCTAAAATAATGATGTCGATAGAGTTACGGATGTGGCGACGTTCTTAAAACCTTGGGCTGTCTATTAATCATTGCTTGTTTGCTATACCGGTAGTTTTTCAATATGAAAGCGAATTTTAATTGGAATTCATTATTAAGCAAAATGCATCGCACGGATTAATAAAAAATAACAAACATGTCGCACAAACGTGTCTAAAACACTATGTGTGGCTTCGTTGCTTAAGAACTATTTACTACGTACTTGAGAAAAATCTGGATAATTCGAAAAATATCTTTTGGTTTTTTTATCGAATATTTTAAGTCCTGAAGATGCAATTTTAATTCTGCTGTTACGCGGTTGAACTGCTCAATAAAATAAAAGTTATACGGTTATGCTGAAAGCGATTTGGTTTCTCTTTGAAACTTTATTTAGTGCAACTCTCGTTCGGTTAATGCTTGTTTTTGCAAACAATTTGTGCCTCGGATAAATTTTCTACAGGGGGGCAAATGAAACATTGTAAAATTAGTTTTCACTAATGCTCCCACATGCTCTAAGCTCTGATTAGGACAAAGAAACGTTACTTTCATTTGAACACTACGGACATTAAGACTATAGCTCCAAAAAGTTTTTGAATTTTTCGCCCATCTCGTCATGTACAAAGTGGTCTCAAAAATCAACAGCGTATATTGAATTTTCGTCGTAAACTGTCTATACAGGTTGTTCTTCAACATGAGCTTTAGATCGCTAAAATGTAAAAAATAAGACCAGAAAAGTTATTGCTGCAAGACCAGAAAGTTGTCTTTTTAAGTTCACCCTGTAGATAGAACAGATGACCGAAAAATTAAAAAACAGTTCCGAGCTATTTGGTTTATCACTAAACTTTTGGTGTTGAGACCCTCCAACTAGGAACCATGCCGACCTTTGCAAAATTTGCATTTTTTGTAGAAAATGTATCTTAGGTCCTTAATTTTTACTAAAACATTGACTAACAAATGAGGCTCAACAACGTTTCAATCAGAAACCAAATCGCTCTAAACAATCGGAATTTATTCAACTCAAATGTTAGGGAAAATTTGGCTGTGTAACATTCATTTTGTTGAGCAGCTTAGTTTAGTTAATCGGTCGATTTTAAAAATCAGGAGTTAAATGAACATTTCCCTTCCTTAAGTAAATGGATGCTATTGATTTGTTGCCTATTGCATGTAAATCATTTGGAGAATTTGAGAAGTAACGGTAACGCAATTGCTGAATACTGAAACCATTTCTGTCTAGATAAGCAACTATCGCTAGCATTTTCAGCTCTTGGGCTAGACTGTAAAGGAACAACTTAACGCAAGATCAAAAAACCGTTTTAAAATTTCTCGCAGTTTCGTCTTCAACTGCAGCTGGCGAAAAGATCAGGACAAGCAGAATAGATGAATAGATGAATAGATGAACATCAAACGTTTCTACCATCTCCAAACAGTAATCAAACAATGTATTTTGACTCTTTAGCTTATGATAAACCGAATTAAAATATATTTTAATCATGCTTATTTAGATCCGTGAACGCTTGTAAAGATTATGGTAATTTGAAATGTTTTTAAAACTGTAACTGTTCAACTTTGGCTTAGTTGAGTGTGGCAATACTTTAATGATCTTGGAACTTATGAAATTTTTAAGCTTTTTCTGTAAAAATTTGGTTTAACTGTTCATTAGCACGCATGGCTAATATATTCAGACGAGTGTTAACTTCAAATGTTTCAGTTCAGTGTAAGCTTCTGTTAATATTTCGTCATTTTAAGACTTATTAATCCTTTTGTCACTTTACGTTGACGGCGATTAAATAGCTAATCTTGATTTTCGTACTGTACGTTTCATTTGGAGCAGCTTAGCATAGCATTTTTACATGGATTTGAAGTTTTTATAATCAAACTAAGCTAAAAATCTAGTGAGAATGAAAAAGGTCAATTGTTCAAAGATTGTTTTTGTTTTCATGTTCTGTTATAAATTATGAAATTCCGAAACACATTGCCCTGCTTGAACTTACATCTTTGCTTTGTCCAATAGAAAAGAAATAACATATTCTCTAAAATTAATAATAATAGTGTTGACTGTGTGAATCTATTAGAATCTATCATTATAGGGTACCAACTGACTTCTGAATCTCAGTAAGTATTTTCGCAAGTTTTTGAAAACTTTCTAGAGTTTACAAAAAATATCTTTCCTCTTGGAAAAACTACAACTTTGAATCACCCTGATTTTTCAAATGTTTACATTAACTTAAGCTTGTTCATCATACTGGCAAGCTTGTTTCCTCTTACTCATGTGAAAATATTCAGGTTACAAAATAAATTACTTACATATACGTACACAACATAGTTAAAATTTAAGAGGAAACCGTTTTAATACGTCGTTTCTGTTGCGCTTTGTCTAATACGCTATTAAATTCAAGTGTTTCTTTTAGGAGGCAACATTTAAATATTTGGTTATACATATCTAAACTATCAAACAGGCAAAACGTTACTCTTTGTCGGCGATTCGCCTTATTTACAAAACGAGCCCGTTAGGTAGATTAAATCGCCATCTCCAGTGGAATTCGTTTTACGGTGTGAAATAGCCATTTATGCGCGAAACCTGACAAATATTAATATAGTGTGTTCTACAAATTCCACGATGTGTGCAAAGACGTGCGCCGAAGAATTTTAACAAGAGCAATCGCTTCATGAAGCCATTATTCTTCCTCGTACAATTATTTTGAACTCAACTAGCTAATGGTCGAAAAAAAATCTGAAAAATCGTATAATTTTCCCGCTCTGTGGCTAAAAAAACGACTCGAGTGTTAAAATATAATTAACCGTGTAATATAAATTAAGAGTAATGTTGAATACCTGTCAAAATAATTATGCCGGCGATATTTTGTAGTTCCATGTGTGTGATCGTCCCGGCTCGTATTGTGTATGCAAGAAGAAGCCTGCACTGGAATATTTAATAAGATTGAACTCATTTTGAATTCTTATGGGATACATGTAGTTACTACCAGCAAACGCGAATATTAACAACTAGGCAGCAATAATTTGCAAACAGGCCTGTACTGCTCGCTGCCATATTTTAATATGACCATTAATAGAATGCAGAACAATTTCTCGATAATTTTGAGTTTTTCTTTAAGTGCTCGATTGTAAAATTTTGCATTTTTCATCTTCGCTTAACTGATTATAAAATTTGATTTTCTTGAGCTAGTTCATAGGTAGCGTGTAGATGTTCATCTATCAAATTCTTCACACCTGGCCTTTACTTTCATCGATATTTTCTGTTAGCACCAGTTTAAGTGTTGAGTACACCAATCCTCACAGAATGTGCCCCAGATAAGTTGTTTTTTGTGATTTAATCATGCTGATCAATGCGCTTTCCACACGCCTCAGTACTTCTTGATTTGTTACATGATCGATATAAGATTCGCAAGAGCCTACGCAACAGCCACATTCCAATTGCTTCTTCTTCAATTTTAGTATTCTTAATCTGAGGCTTTGGGGAATTGAGGACAAATTAATATTTATTTCGTTTTACAAAAAATGTATCTGCTACCCAAATTTCAACTTACCCGCACAGCAAACTATCATCTGATATGATTGCTGCTAGTTACACTCACGTTGAGCAGCTGAAAAACACTTTCTCAGTAGTACAATTAAAACAGTATGAAGGTAAGTGAGCATTCGGCCCTAAGAATCTGGAGGTGTTTTATTCTCGAGATAGAGAAGAGAGATCGGCTGTTTGATCTGAATGCAACTTTCGAATGATGCTAAGAACTTTGATATGGATATCTATGAAATTGTTAAACAGCACGTTTGGGTAAACGCTATCAAAAACCTTCAGCTAGCTTATAGAGCATATGGAAATATGTTCTCTTAGGTCATAACCTTTCTGGATCAGTCTCTTCATTGGTGACCCTCATTTCTTATATATTCTTCGGTGTGTAATTTTTAAGAAAGCCTGAATCGAGTTCAGAAGAGCGAGTCTGAAAGTTATTCTTCTGGATAGCTTCAAACATGTATTTTACTCAATTCAGAGGTCTGTTGCTGTCATATTACGTTCAAAAGTTTACACAGTCGATTGGTGTCTATTAACTTTGCTATCCCCAATTAGATGTTGTCCAGGAACTCTGCCATTCTTTAACAATTTACATTTCCTAGGAAATTCTTCCACTTATTGTCACTTGGTTGGTGCCACTTATGGTTCTACCAGAAATATTTAAAAAAATCTGACGGTCAAATCTGAGTAGTTGGATCAAAGGTATATATATATAAAGGTAAAATAATTCTGCCCATGTTACTTTTGTATAGGGCTTCGAAATATTTATTAGTCTTTCAAAATATCAAAAACGTAAGTTTAGGTAAAATTTGAGTTTTTGCGCCATATTTTATGGTTGTTTTTTCCTTTCCAGTCCATACACATTATGGACGAAGGGCAGAGAGGTTTTTGTCATAAAACATTTTTCGTTTAGAATGTATGTAAGTACCCTCATTTATTTTGTATAATTACTAGTTAAAGACTATATTAAATTTATTTTGCTTTATTTTTTTTAAATAAGAAGCATATTAAAGAAAGGCTTAAAGAAAAACTGCTTGTTTCCTTCAAATATTTACTAGCTATATACATAAATCCTGTATATTATTATAGTTTTTCATATTGTGTTCTTAAAGTTTGAGGTGTTAAAGTTCTTATATGGAGTCCACGTTGTCTATCTGCGATCACTTTTTTCCAAAATTTTAAACTACATTTATCGTTGAACTGAACTATCGAAGCAAGCGCAAATGTTTCATAATAGATACTTTGAATTTGTAAGAAGGGCTTTCTCCAGATACAGAATTATTGGTGAACATAAAGCGATATAATTCGCTCTGATTCATCAACATTCAAAACGAATTACACCAATGACCCAGTTTACGACCGATTTTCCGATGAAAATCTTTGTCCATGCTCATATCCCATAAAGTATGGTCGGGTAGTATGCCATCGGCACCTCATTTAATTCACTTAGAACAATATTTGCACGCAGCTCACATAATACCGGGACGCACAGAGCACATAATATACCTGCAAGCGTCTGTATACTTTCTATTATTTCCTGAACAAAGGGTTGAGCTGCAGCGTTTAAATCGGAACGAAACCCAATTTGTAGATCCCTACGCAGTAATTACAACACCGCACTGGCTGAACAATGAAAACATGCAGCCCGCATGTTGCACAGTCGGGAGGAAAATTAAAAAATACGCACTTTTCTCCTGTCCCAATGTCGATTGCCTTTCGGTGCCTTCACTTCGACAATGCCATTTTACATCAGTTGACTTGTGTTTTTATTGCCCTTTTTATTAAATTATCAATTTCCTTAATTATGTAATTTTTTTTTGAACTAACACTCTCAGGACAAACGCAACGTAACATTTGTCAACTACAATTGTATTAAAAATATGTACTTTTATGTTTGTTAATTTCAGTTTCGCCTAGTTGAGAATTACTAGCATCCGAAAATCCTGCCAATCTGTAATATTATTTTGTAAAACTGATAATTTTGCTTCAACTCTTTCGTATATATTCGTTATATTCGCTGCAGAGTGGCCCGTGTGAAAAGGCTCTTATAGAAGAATAATCAAATTATCGATTTTTTCTGTCTGTCTCTTACATAGTTGACTCTTTGGTTTTTCGAAATTTCCGATCTTACCTCCTTCCTATGGTTTGATTAATATTTTATATTACTGTGTCTGTTACTTTCCAACAACGTCACTACATGGATTTTGTTTCAATTGCATTTACAATGTTTACATGCCCACATCTGTGCTCTTGTATGAAGACATAAATATCACATTTTCGTGATATCTACAGAATTCCAGTTTTCTCTGTACTTTTTTTATTTTCAGTTGATTGTTTTTTTCTTTTCGATATTTAAATATAGTAATAACATGATAAAAACCACTTAGAAGAAAACAGAGGATTGAAACATTATTAAAAAAATAAAGCCTAGAAAGCTTTTTTTCTGTTCTTCGAAAGGACGGAAGAGTTGAAAGTAGCTATCTTTTGGTTTATTCAGCTGCTGAATTACTTACACTTAGCAAGGCATGCATGCAAAAAGATGCCTTTTTATTCCTCGTTGTTCTTTTCTGAACAGCATGAAAGTATTCTTCTGAACTTAATTTGCCTGCAAAATAAATATTTTTCCTGTAGCTTGCAATCTTGCAATTGTACATTTGTATTTCGGTTTTGTCTCAGCTTCTATTCCATCCTGGTTTGCTCAAACTATTAGATCCTTCTTCGATGCTTTCCATCATCTGTTTCATTGTTGTTACTTCGACCGCATTATTCGATTTTTATCCGATTATCGAACACAAGATTAAGACTTCTACAAACCTACTCAAGAACTGCATGCCAGCAGCAACTCTGACTCTCAAGTTTTCTTAATAATCCAGTGTCAATAATGCACTGTTACGAGCCGACTCGAGCGAATGTTGCATGAATCAAAACATCCTCCGCATGGTATTGGCGAAAACATCAACT